CAATTTGAGAGTGATAAAACCTGAAGGCTTAGGCCAACTAATTCATTCGGTTTGCATTCATTTTCTTTTATAGCTAGTTTCGATATTTATTTACTTATTTTTTCAATTTGTACCAAGTTATACTACGTATCCTTAGAATTACGTATAAATTTAATTGCTATCCATTTTTCGGGTTAACACTAACTACAATATTCTTACTAATTTTCTTTTCTTTGTTACATATTCCCTTTTAAATGATATGTGGAGATAATCTTTTCTACTTTGTCTACATGATGGTGGTCACGACCTTAAATTTCAAGAAGAGGAGAGCTCGGCAAGTATATCTTTACACTGCAAAAAGGTTTTTAGATATATGGGTTGTGAATTTTAACGTTCGTGGCATAATTTTATTTGTCAAATGGTTGGAGGCCTATCTTTTTGTGATATTTCTTGGTGGATCATATTCAAGCTAAGTGTATGTTTATGCAAAATGACTTTGTTTATTGGAATATAAACGGTGTGTTTTCCTTTATCTACCAATTATTTGATTGTTTGATCTTTTCCGTTTTTATTTATTTATTGTGAAATAAGAGAGGGTAATAAAAAGTTGTAATTGTTGTTATACAATCAATCACTTAGAACTTTTGTGTTCTCATTATATAGTACATCTTATTCTCAAAGGTATATAAAAAAGAATAAATATCAGAGAACAAAAAAAGTGACAAGGTTCTTGTATTTTAATTTTTCAAGCATTCTAGATAACTTAATTATGCACCCTCTTAACCGTTCCAATTAATTCTTACTTTAGTACTAGATTATTCTTTGCTGCTTACCGTCCTTCAAAGCTTAAATTTGGCTCATTTTACCGACGTTTCTTTTGAGAATAATACTTGGACATACCGTGGAAGGGAGTGTGTTTCTTTTAAAAAACTATTAATTTTTTGTGTTAAGTAAATTAATTTTTTTAAGTAACAAATGGTTGGAACTTATTTATATCTGATATGAGGATTCTAAGAATGTTACTGCAAAGACGTTAATCGAAAATCAATAGGAATCTATTATATTCTCTCGCTTTCTTAATATAAAGTTGTGCTCATAGATTCTGTTTTGTGCATATATATGAGACCATTTTTCTGTTACAACATATAACTTACATATATGTATGACATCTAGATTTACGAAAATATTATGTGTATGTATTGAGTCAATGTGTTCCTCTTGGTGTGTTAAGTGCCAGGATGTTTTGTTTATGAATGAAAATGTATTGTACCTCTTATTGTTTCTCCCCTAAAATCTGAAAAATATATTATCAGATTTGAGTGTATGTCGTTAGATGCGGATCTAGGATTTCAAGAGGATGGGTGCACTATTGTAAAGAAGTGTATCTAGAATTTATATTTGACGGGTATAACTTTAGCCTCTTACCATGAATCCACTAAACTTTTGAAATTACATGTTCAAAATTATATTCTTTTTGAAATTTTAGTAATTTTTACATATGTATCTATACTTCGTGCCGAAATCAAGACCGTTCAGAGTAGAATTTGAACTGTCAATTTTATTTGTAGAGGTGCACCCAACAATAATTAAACCATAGGAGTCTTTGAGCATGAGTTCACACACATATATTTAAGTAATTTTAAAGAAATATAACATTGTTATAAATGATTTTGGAAGAGGAGTATGGGTTCACGTGAACCATATCCATAAATATGGATACGCCTCTGTATGTCGTTACATGACGTGTTTGAAAATTTTATTTTTTGTTCTTTCTGTGTAATATTGCTATTATTTGTTTTTAATTTCCCTAAAATGAATAGGTTTGATTAAAGATAGAAATAAAATGGTTTAAATAGAGCAGAGTGGGAATTAATAACTTCTTCTTCTCCCCCTCCTCCTCTTTCTGCTTCTTCTCCTTTTCCATCTTCTTCTTTGTCTTTTATTTTTTAGAAATAATGTGTTTATGTGTATTTTTACCTTGATTGTTTGGTATCGAACACATTTCGCATTCTTTGTATTTATATAATATCATAAAGTAATAAAATTATAGCAATACAATTAAAACTAAACGTTGAGTTGAACTTTGATTAAATATTCTAGAAGCAATATTTTCTCAATTTTCTTAAGTGTTTTAAGAGTTGTTATATTTTCTCTCTTTTTCCTTAAATATCGTATTTTGGAAATTCAATAATATTCCAAATACAGAAGTAGAGAAAAAGAATGAAAATGAAGGGTAATGCAAAGATATTATAGAAATACAAAAACTAAGCCTTGTGTTGATATTTTTAATTATTTATTACTCTTATTATATCATATAATATTACTATAACATACAGGAGAACTATTTGTTGTGTTGAATTGTAAATTTCAGTATATATAATATTTCTTTTGCAGATGCTTTATTTTTAAAATTTAATTATTTAATAGTAATGATATCATTTTGTGGCATGATGTAGGATATCGTCAAAATGTGGCATACTTGATTAATATCAATAGTTAATGTTCATTCAAATATATTGCCTTAATTATTATTTAATTTTTACTTTTATCGATAAAAGAGGATTTAGTGATGCAATTTAAACCTTCAAATTAGCCCGATGAAGTTCTTGCAAAGAAGCTAAGTATACGCTTCAATGTGTACAAAATAATAGAGAAAACGAGTCCTGAGCGAGTCTTAAAGATAGTAGAAACAAACAATCAACCTTGAAAATTAATATAATCAGATCACAATTATGGTTTATGGTCGAAGATATAAAGAAGGTAAAATTGAACAAAGAGTAAAGTCTTTTTTAAATACAAAAATTTTAACAATAAACTTTCATTCATATTAATCTTTGTAAGGATGGAGTTTGCTAAAACACGAAATATAATTACGACAACCTGTTGAAAGATGGTATGTAAAAAATTTGTGTCAAGACTGTTTAACGTTTGCAATCAATCAACGATGAAATTCTAAGACACCTCCAGCAATCCAACTTCGACCAAAAACAGAGTTTGGTCATTATATTAATTTCAGTCTTCTTATTGCTCAATTCAAAAGAAGATACGTGACCCTTCTTGTCCATAAGAGAAGTACATTAACCGGCAATTTCTTCATGTGAACAAAAAGAATATAATTCCAACAAGGCTTTTGAATTTTATCAATTAGGTAATAGCTGCCAATTTGAAGGGACCAACTCAATGTAAAATATGGACTAGAGATATGCCACAATACATCTCTAGGTACTGAAAGGGCAAAACTGACATACTGAGAAAGACGCCGAAAGTCCGAAAGGCAAAACATCCACAAAATTGATTGAAAAGTACCCTAAATTTATATAGGTCCAAACTGAAACAATAAGTTTGAGCTAACTCATGTATTCATAAAATTGCCTGAATTCATCTCTTAAAGAGCAGCAGCAATTCTTCCAGCAACTTGGTCAAGATCACGCTGGCCATTGGATGTGATTCTCCTTCCACTAGATAGAGAACGAAAATATAATCAGACAGACAATAATAAGCAGCAGCATCTGAAAAAAATTCATATCAAGGATTTGCATTCTTAATGCAGCTGATAAGTTGAGTTGTGAGCATCCACTAGCAATGAGGATGTCTCCTTAAGAGCAAAGTGAAGCACTTTATCTTAATTTTCACTCGAGCCATGTTCTTATTTTCAAGGAAGCCAAAAATTTGCTGGCACCCATATAACGATTAATCATAAATATTACTAAGTGGTGACACTCAATATGTGGGACAATAAATATCAGAAAATGGGAGAAAGAACTATAGCTATTCTCCCGAACTATATTTATCTTTACTACCTAAAATAACTTGCCAAAGTTGAGATACCAAACAGGTTTCTAACTAATCAATGGATATAATTCCTACAACCACCATAATATAAAGAAACAAATAAAATTCAGCTGCAATTAGATTTTATAAAAGGGCTACTTACCCCTTAGGATCAAAGTCAACGATGTTCATGTTCTGCAATTGCTGAAGTATGTT